CCCGCCGCCTTTTGGTGTACGGGGTGATGCTCCAACTGAGCCACTCCGGCCAGGGCTGCTTTTGATTTCTTTTATGACGTGGACCTTTCTATGATATGGGCACTTAAATGAAAGCAAATGGTGGAAAAAGGACTGGAACCACATAGAAACATTTTTAGAGAAATGTTTTTGGAGAAAAGCAAAAACGTTAGAAATTACCATGTGCTTCCGTGAACTTCAGTGGAGTGTGCCTGCCTCTCCCGCCCCTCGGCCCTCCTGCGTTTCTCCCACCTCTGGCCCTGCGCCGCAAGCCTGGCCCTTCCTCCTGCTCGGTCCGCCCAACATGGGGAGACAGCGAGGGTGGCAGCTCCCACGCTGATCCACTTCCACTTGCTGGACAGTGAGTGGTCATCATGTCGTACAGTTAATAAACTAGTCAGCTATTTAAACGGTGTGTCTGTGTCTTTGTGTGCAAATCTAATAGCTGTATGGCAGGAACTGGGAGACTTTGTGGCACCATTGTCATCGTGGCCTAAGTATTCATTGTGTAGAGCATCGAGCGCAAGACGCGCATGAGAGTGGATAGCCTGTCCTTGCATGGGCGTAAGGTGAGTGATTTTATATATAAAGTTAATGTGCTAATTTTCTTACTGTTCCCTAACTTTGCTTTCAAAGAATTACATTACCTTACTCTCTCTAATTGGAAAAGCTGCGTATCAGCCTATCATCACAGGTAAGTGGGTTTTTTTTAAATGCAACAATGTTCCCAGTACTGGGTTATAACTAGGACTGTGCTACTGTGCGCCATATGCATTTTGGACCGATGCTTTCGTTAGTGTGTAGGCCGTGCTGCGTGAGCAATTGTGTTAATTACACGAGGCTGCCGTAGAGCAGTCATTGCTGCTGCTTCATTATCAGTGCAGGAATCGTTCTACCTGTAAATAGGTAGGAGTTTCTTTTTCACATTATCTTTTAATTTTGGATGTCATGTTAGTAAAATGTATAACATCTACAGTGTTTTGTATCATATAAGACAATATTGATGTAGGTACTAATAGAGGATTCATTCTGTAAACAGATGACAAATTCATAGTATCGACCAATACAGTGCTCTAAATATATTTTCTCTAGCTTTATTGTAAAAATATAGGATATAATACATAAAACGTACCAAATATATGTTTAATATACATATATAACATACCAAATAACTGTTATGTTGTTGGTGAGACTTCCAATCAAAAGTAGGCTATTAGTAAAGTTTTGGGGTAGTCAAAAGTTACATGCATATTTTCAACTGTGTGGGGTGTTGGCGCTTCAACCCCTGTGTTGTTAAAGGGTCAACTGTGTCTTTATTATGTACTGTGGTAAAATACACAAAACATAAAATTTATCTAAACCAGTCATTTTCAGCCTTTTTCATCTATGGCGCACATCAACTAATTACTAAAATTCTGCAGCACACCAAAAAATACACTTTTTGCCAACCTGACCAAAAAATAGGTATAATTTTGATTCATTCACACTGGACAGCTATTGTGTTGGCTGTTGTCATTTTTTTATTTGACAACTTAAGGGAAAAGAGGTCAGTGCCCCTGATTAAATAGTCAGATATTGCATGTTTTAAAAATTCTTGTGGCACACCAGTTGAAAATTGCTGATCTTAAACCATTTTTAGGTCTGCAGTTCACTGTTGTTATATACATTCATAATGTTGTGCAATCATCACCAACATCCATCTCCAGAACACTTTTCATCTTGTAAAACAAACTCTAAATCCAGTAAACAACATTCCCCCCATCTTCTGTTCCTCAGCCTCTGGCAAACACCATTCTACTTTCTGTCTCCATGTTTTAATTACTCTTAAGTCTCATAAGTGGAATCATACAGTATTTATCATTGTGTGACTGGCTTATTTCCTTGTGAAATCAGATTTTAAATATGGGCAATCCATTGAAAGTTTTTAAAACCAAGTGAGGCATACAAAAAGTACTTGTGGATTAGATTTGACCCCAAGGGTTGCCAGTTTGCT